TTTGTACAAAATAAACTTGCAACCATATTTTTAGTTAACCTGTGCTATTAATTTTCTTGGATGCGATACAAGCAAGTTTCCTGTGTTAAATTAAAAAAATAAAATCAACAAAGGAGTTCCAAGCAAGGTTAAAAAAGGTCAATATCTAAAATTCCGAGGCTCGACTAATGACTATCCTTTGGACTTCCAAAACTAACATACGTTAAACGATCGATTTCCCATTATACAGGATCTATTCTATTCTCCAGTCGATCGAGGACAGAAAAACATAAATGACGTTCACGTAAACACGTGTTACATTTGACCCTGTTCTCGGCTCATCGCAATTTTTCTACTTTGACGATTATTAGTTGCAAAAACTGTACTAGTATCAATCAATTCTGCTAAATGTTCAACGATTCCCCCATTTACCTTAATAAAAAATGAACAGGTCGATTTTATGTAAAGTTCCTGAGTAATTTTTCAGGGCGAAGGTTTATTCAATGTTTATGTATTACGTGGTTCACCGTCCCATTTCAGCCAGACAGTTCTTGAACTTTGACCTGCTTGCCTCCTAGATTGAAATTCGCTGAATTTTTATTTTTGGAACCGCTTGAAAAGATTTCTTAATTCATCGTCGGGTGCCGGTGTTAAAATATATCGTTGACGTATGCGGGAAGGTCAGTTACGAATCCGATAAGATGCCTGAGACATTTGAAATATTGAGAAATTCTGAGACAGAACAATCACAGGCCTATATTGGGGCCAGAGGTGGCCATTTTCAACGCCTCCAGTGAAGGTAAACAACTGTATATCATTGGGGTATAAAAATGGCCATAACTGGGGAAGATCGAATAGGCCACGTGTTTGTACGAACTTTTTACTTTGTTTTTGTGTCCTCGATTGATCGCCGAAGTATGACCCACATGTTAGGACACCGTATGGACAAAGTCAACAGAATTCTATCCATAATAATATTTTCTGAAGTCTGCTCAAATTTAAAGAGGTCTAAAAGAATATCTAGGAGAATAGTTTTCACTTAGGAAGGTGTAGATAATATAGACATTTATTTATGTTGATTGAACGACTGCAAGATTATATTTTTCTTGCGTCATTGTTTGTTTTCTTCGGAAACGAGACGAGAATTTTATATATTGGACAGCTTAAAAATAAAAAGGCTCTAACTGAAGTTCCATTTATCGCAAGAGGGTAAATATAACTTTGCTTTCGTTTCACCAAATAAATTTCATTCAAATAAATTGTATGAAAAAAATAATTTTTATCATACAAAAAAAGATATAACCGACTTTGAAAAAAAAAAGAAAAATATATATGTCGAATTGAGTAACCTCCTCCTTTTCGAAGTCGGTTAAAAAGGGTACGCTCCTATTTAAGCTTGTTATAGAGATGCGCAAAGATATAATCAAACAAAAATTTGAAAAGTGTACAAGATCGTTAAATAATAGTTTAGATTGAAAGAGACGAAAAATATGAAATGCGGAAATAAATAAGGTGTTTCTCGAAAGGGACCGTAAAATTTTCTTGTTGACCAACAGAATATTTAAATGACGTCTATCACGTTTAATTGCAATCACGCGTACTTCCATTTAAAACACAAAAATTTGAAATGTTCCTTACCATTCGTACTTGATCGAAAAAATCCTGAAGGCCCTTTTGGGAACCCCTATATGTAAAGTATACGTCCAAACGAGCGTGCTTAATTAAGGAACTTGACACGAGAATCGATTCTGATTGACGTAGGAGCGACGCAGGTTGAAGGAACGATTTCCAACCTTGGCACTAGCGGAGTCCGATGCGGAGATGTGTCGTACTACTTTAAGAAATTACGAAACCATGGCATTGGCTCGGGAAGTGTGCGAAGGGAAATGTGCCATGGGCCGTCCTTGTCCGACTGGGCTATGCAGGCAACCTTCCAAAAGGTTCGTTACTTTTTCGTACAACAGTGTCAGGTTCCAGACCGCTCGTGTCTATAGACCGCAACGTCCGTCACGATTGCTCTCGTTTATCTTTCTTCCCCAGCTCGATAACGTAGGATGGTGTCGCATAGACAGAAGAAAATGAAAATGATTACTCGTTACGTTTCATTTTTTTCTGTCTATAGGAGCCCACGAAGAAAGGCGTCCACGGGCAGCACCAGCAGCCTGAACACAGGAAGAACGCCTCCTCAGACACCTAGGTTGCTACCGTCTGCACCACCGTCGCCAGCCATGCACAGGTCCACCAGTGTCCTGTCGGCGAGACCTAGAAGTGGTCCTGCTGGGCTCCACTATTACACTGGGTCGGCACCACCTTCCAGGTGAGCTGGGAAATGTGTAGGGGAGAGTACTGTACCAGAGAACATTTTTCGAGACCAAGCTTGCCAAACTTTAACCTAATATGGCAACCACAACATTTGCCTACAGACATGAAAATAAAATACATTTTTATATGTCTATGCATTTGCCGAATTCTACAGAACAAAATAATATTAGAAAACAAAAGCGAATTGTTGATGAAAATCTTAATAATCGCTGCTACATAGATGAGAGTATTAACAGGAAAATTAAAAGTGTTCCTAGGTACATCGTGCTCTAAGTACAACACTCTCCTCTACTTTGAAATTAAAGTATAACATTGAGTTACGTTTGCTTATCTATCGCTTGAATATTATAGGATGATTTTGTATAATAGTCTTTTTGTATAAATGTCTTAACACTTTTCTTTTGGAAGAAAAATCGCAAAAACCATCTGGCCGGGATCTTTTGCACGCCACTGTATATTAACAAAAATACAGAAACCTATGAACTAGATAGGTTAAGCTATTCGGTAATAATACAACTATTCGACTAAACAACTAAAGTGTTCTTCATCACGACTCGCCCTCGACTCGTCAACTTAATAGCATGATCTTTCCGTCGAAACATCCCTTATTAACGACTCGCATTTTCCCACCACGCAAACTGTTTTCGGCCGGATCTATTACCAAATATGATCATGTCAGCCTTCGTTCGTTCGCACCTCCTGTTTTCAAGGGGCCTCGCGTTGCTGGGCCTGATGACTCGTGGGTTTTTCCACCGAGTCTATAATATTACTATAATTCTACGATATTATTAGAGAAACACTGGGATTCCTAGCTCAGGGACATTGACCTTACACCATTGTATCCTTATCATTATCATCTGAACGCTGAGGTCCAAGAGTCAGGGACACTGAGCTTTCGCCATTGTATCCTCATCCGTCAAATAAAATCCTACAATAGTACCCATCGTGTTACACAGAAGCCTCTTCATCCGTTGTCCTTTGATATAGGATACCAGCTTCCTCAATCCAAAGTACACCGATCTCATAATTTAGACTGTCACTGCTCACAGGACCCTGATTCATCAATTCTTCGATGTCGTTCCTTCCAGGGCGGTGTCGAGGGTGGACCTATCAGGAGCAGTGGCCTGTAGTAGTAGCAGCACGAGTCTGCAAACGCTAGGCAGATCAGGCATGTCGGGCAGTAATTGGAGGTTGACCGCCGGTTCCGCTCCCAACACGCCGAGACCAACGCCGCCAGTTTCTCCTCAGCGTTGGCCAAGACGATCCTCCACTCGACAGACACCCCAATTGCCAGTCTCCCCTGAAACCTCCTCCTCGACGACGTAGCATCTCCGGAACTTCGCTTCGTTCTCGACTCTGCCCGAGTAATTACGGAATCGATTCACTCGGCGAAGACAGGCGTCGGCCATCCGCGAACGTCGGATGACCGTGTCCCCCATAAAATGCCATAATCGGCCCCCTGGAAGACGATGCTCGCCGAAACGGCGTAAACGTTGAAACGCTTTCCCGAAAGGACACTAAAAGGCTTAACGTACCCGGATACTTCAAACAGCTTCAACTGCAACGAGTATATACGCCAGCTTGCCATTTCATCGCTAACGCAGTTTTGCATCGACGTGCAAAGCGGTAGGAAGCTTGAAGAGTCTGTCGAGAAGCAGAGAGAGAAGAAGAAAAAAAAAAGGAACGTTGTACGATAACGAAGTCGCGCTCGAGTTTCCTCGTTCGAATCGTAAACGGAGCTCGGTTCCCGAGAGCTGTTGAGGTTTATTAAAAGCTTCGGTGGATTCCTTGGCTGGGAAATTGTGACCTAGTCGACGTGAGTCTCCATGTGATCGTTAGCAAAGAGAAAACGGCTTCGATGGTTGTTTCTACTTTCGCTAGAAAAATTTTGGGACGCTCGAGCTTGGGAATTGCTGTTCTCGTTTGAACGCTCGTATCGATTGCAGGCGCGGTGTCATTCTCTTTGTTTTTTCGTTAAGCAACCAAACGATGCACGCCACAAAGATGTTATACTATGGCGAGAGCGAACGAGAGGAGTAATTTTTCATTGGTGCTCGAAGAGTGATCGTCGGAAGAGTTCCTCCCCCCGAAGAAACTTGCATCGACGCGAACGACCGTGGATGGGCAACGTGGATTTTGGAAGAATAGAGTGGATAATTATGATCACATGATCATCATTATCTATTCTTGTTTTCATGTTGTTGGGCAACGAAGCACGTTTATTTAAATGTGTTTGAAAAAGTATTCCAATGCTGTGTCTGGTGGTTGTGAAAGTATAGAGTACTTTTATTCGTCTTCATCCTCGAATACCGAATGAACAGCCAGCGTATGTATGTAGTTTGTTAGTGGGTCTAACTAATATGGGTACGATCGGCTTAATTGTATAGAATTCTAATCTAGTAGATTATGCCCGTTATTAGTCAGACTCGCCAACTTCTCATGTAGTATGTAGGAGACTGATATCCTTTCATTTGTTGATTATTCTATGGAGGTGATTTATGTATTCAAAGAACTTCTATTTGAAACTTAACCATTAATATTTATTATTTGAACAATTTTGACAGCTGACGTTTATTTTGTTAACTTTTGTTCAGCAGAACATTATGTAATGGTAACATATATACAGCCAAATATTAAAAACAAGCCAGTTGCAAGTGTACAATTCGATTTAAAAGTCCGGTATCAAATTTAAATCTTAGGGCATTTGAGGGTTAGTATCTGCAAACATATCATAAATTTTACTTCAGCTTGTTTTATTATAGCGTGTAACTGTTAAACCAGTCTTCGCACTGTATTGTAAATCACGATGATCCTTCGATGAACTATTTTTTATTATACCGTAAAGAAAATAGTGATAATTCCCATTACACCAGAAATTCGGTATTCGACGACGCAGCGAGTAGAAGTGGGTAGATAATTAAATATTCGACAGCATAAATGGACGCAAAATACAAGTGAATATTTGCGCATAAACGGATGCAGATGTATTTCGATTACAAAAAGATCACTGAAATGTGCCCATCCCTGTGTGTGATTTCGAACTATGCGCGTGATACAGCAATCACCGACAATCTTGCGTACGATTGCGCGCACACACGTGGACGCAATCGTACCCTCCTCGTAAAGACCTCTTGTTAATTAGCATTTTTAAAAAAAAGAAAAAAAAGAAGAAACGCGCATAATGAAAGTTGTTGTTTACGACGAAGACGGAGCCGCGATGGATAACAAGTTAGCTGATATTGTAAATATCGAATTGTCCAAACGGATTCACCGTAATAATACTTTACTGGTAGAGAACTCTCGGCTACTTTTCCAATGTAATATTATTGTCTCATGGAACGTAGGAAATTCGCTGTTAGACGCTCAGAGAAATCGTCGAATTCACGTTGAATCGATCGTTACGTTCGCAATGACATTCCTCGTTTCTTTCGAATTTCATTGTTCGCGAATTAACGATAATCGCGTGCGATTTTCAACACTGACGCACTGTTTACGTTATTGAGAGCACGATCCAGAGATAGACGAAATTCATCAGATAAAAATTACGAAGATAAAGAGGATATAAAGACATCATTGACACACTGAGTACGGATGTGTTAAGATAAAAGATTAGAATGGGAAATAAAGGGCGACAAGTGTTGGTCCCATTTGAAAATTTGAATTACAGGATGCAGAAATAGAACTTTAAGTGTTTTATTGTTGAAGGATTTCGTCCCATCTCTGGCAGGGAGCCCTCGGGGTTGGTCTGGGCCTCACACTTGGAACCTCAGCTTTATAAAAAAATAAGAAAATTGTGTGGAATATTGAGAATATTGATTTCGTGATTTTTTATATGAAGACCTGTATAGTTTGACTCATAAGGAAGGCTATTAGATTCTATTAGATTCTATTAGATTCTGCTTTAGATTTGATGCTATTAATTGCTCCCAGAATGTGTTAGAAACTAGTTTAATAAACTATCGTTTAGACAGAGTCTGTCCAAGCTATTAATTAATCGTGTCTAAGGCAGAATCCAACTGGCAGACCCATGATGAAACGCTAAGTAATATTGCTCTTGATATCAAAAATATCGTAAACAGAAGCATTTATAATACTTTACCTACCGACGTACCTAAAATTGTTCATAAAATTCTATAACTTTTGGTTGAAATTTAGAAGCTGGTCAATGTTAACATTTTATTTACCGGGAACCTATTTATAGGCTTTTTAATTGCAGTATTTAGCTATTCGAATTTATTTACTGTGTTGATGCTTGTCTACTTAACAATGATCAGTGTTTGGAAACAGACTTGGCTTTCAATGTATCCAGTAACAGTATGGAGGAATTATTGTCAGCCTAGATTGGCATATGCTACTATAGAAAATTCATTTTCGGATTAAAGATTGTTTCTAAATAGCCCGGTGGATAAAGTGTTAAACTAGCCTTGCTTTAAATTATTAACAAAATTTATGAAAAGCCTTCTTCAAACCGAGTACCATAATTTGACGATAGGAGACCCCGGAATTAAAAAGCCTGCGATAGGTAAAGTGTTAATCATAGAGGTTTGTAAAAGCTCGTGGAGGTGTCTGAAGTCCACCCTGAGCCTTCCTCGGAACAGCTTGAATCGTCCCGCATCATTTTTCATCTAATCTTCATTGGAACGCGTCGATTGTGTTCATGGTCTCTAGAAAAGCAATTCGCGCAATCGCAGCTAGCTTTCGCCGAGAAAGTGGAGAAAAAAACAATCATCGCTAAAGCTCGAAATCGAGTATGGGAGATCTGGTATCTCGCCGAAGAGGCGCTCAAGCACTCGAGGGATAAGGGATGAACGAGAAGAACGCGAGCCGTTGTTCCTTGAATCGTTCCATTGAGTTTGTTCGCAAACCGTCCATTGCAATTGTTGGATTTGTAGCAAAACCACGCCGTTTAGCGCAAGTTGTTAATCCAAAGGAAAGCATATATATACACGAACATATACATATACTCGAGGCGTGCCAGTTAATAAACGCGTTTCGTGCACGTTGGAGCGATGGCGGGACTGAACACGGGACCTCTCTGGCGATTTCTGACTTCAGACACGATTTTTAAAGCGATACATTGTAGTTAGACGATACTATGTAATTGACATAAATGTATTAAACGTATGATATTAACGAGGGGTTCCCATCGTTACGAAGGGAGACTCGGAGATGAAGAAGTTCTGGAATGTTGGCTAACAACGCCTGGTAACTTTTATGGAGGTTGAAGTGCAATCGTATCGACTACTGGCACTGTTGATGATCGATCGCAGAGGGGAGATAACGTAGTCAGGTCTCTCGTAACTCGATTCAGATTTTCAGGATTTTAAGCAGGAAGTTTGATAAGAAATGTCTACTCGTTAACCCTTTCGGTACTATTGCCGCCTATAGACGCCATCCATGAAACGAGTATGACTACTTTCTATGCCAGTGATTCCCAAAGTGGGTGCTGCAGCGATTCAGGGGGGCACTGACGACCAATGTAGGCTGTAATTCAAAAGTTCTTAATTGCATTTCCTTTGTCATATTTAATGGAACGTGGATTCAGTGAGGTAACCAATTTATTAACAAAAAAAAAAAAAAAGAAACCAATTGCAAAAAGTAAATCGCGGTGATTTAAGATTGCCGCTGACGAAAATAGAACGGAGGATTACTAAATTGTTACCAGCACACCAGTTTCATCCTTCTCATTAAGATGGTTTCGAATGTTTTAACTGTTTTTTGTATTACATTCTATTCCGAGTTCAAGAAATAGTTTCATCATTTCGAAGTTCAATGTTTCAAATTTACACCTTTCTATACTACATTTCACGAAAAAGATGGAAACATTAATTCATATATATTTCCTACGCATTAATTGCTATTGAAATTAAAGAAAAATTACTTTCCAGAGGAGTGGGAGGGGGGGGGGCTAAGATAATATTTTTTCTGGAAAGGTGGTGGTTGGACAAAAAAGCTTGGAAACCAGTGTTCTATACTATGCATTACGAAACTACAAAAGTTTAGTGCCAATCACGCTCTAGATTTCTCTGAATGCCGCAAAACACGTTTTCGTATAACCGCGGCCGGCTCCTCCGTACCGAAAGGGTTAAGTGGCATACTGTGATTAATTGTTTCGTCAAATAATATTTATTTTTGATATTTGAGAAAGAGAATATTTGTAGATTCGATTACTTTCGTACATAGATTTCAACGTTAATGTGAAACATATAAAGGAACCACTAACGAATCACAGATATTGATACCTAAACTTGAATATTTGATATGCATTCACTAATACCTCAGTTAACATTAGTAGTGCCAAAAAGCATGTAAATCTAAACGGGTACAAGATGGAATTGACCATTTTACCACTTTCGCTGCGGACGAAAATAAGTGGCCGTTAGCTGAGAGCTGCAATTATGATATTTTTTTTTAATGAAAAATTTCTTACGAACGTTCTAATGTGATCATTTTGAAAAACATATATTTGTGGTAACTTATTTTATATATAATATGATTGGTGAACAAAAAAAAAAAATGGAAACTGAAAAATAATCAAAAACAACAACAATAATAAAAACATTCATATATTTTCAATTAATCCGCAACGAAAGTGTTACTAATGGAGGCATTAAATAAATTCGTGAACAGTTCAACCGATATCGCCAGTACAGTGTATGAATTGAAATTACAGGTACCAAGTAGCCTCGAGCCGAGTTCTTTACAATCTGCAAAGGTAAATTAATAATAAAGAGGTCCAAGTTACAGAGACCAAACCAAAATGTATACCGAAATTTTAAACGTTAAGAAGCTATATTTTATTAGAACGACAGGACGTCCAACATTTCAGAACTCATTCGTACTCGTC